GCTCCTTTACCTGCCAAAGGAAAACCACAGAATCATTTGTGTTTAGAGCCAGAGGGGTCCTTGGGGTCAAGATCATGGGAAGTACTAACCCTGGTCTTCTAGATCCTACTCAGATGATAATGTACCTTCTTCTAGGCATCACTCAGCCCCACTCAGAAAAAGAGGATCAAGGAGGGAGGAGAGGGTAACTGATCTCACTTGACGCGTGCTGAGGTTAAACACTGAGCTGTTTAGCTGGGATGGGGGCGGGGGGATACAGTGGCATGGTGTGCATCTGGAAACATCTACATGACTGTGGTGTAGGGTCAAATCACAACTTTATTGCTTTGTACCTGAGTTTCCTCATCTCTGTAAAGGGGATTAAAATATCTGCCCCCTAGTTGGTGTGAGCATCAAAGACGGCACAGGTCCTGGCTCCCAGGAGATGCTTGGTCAAAGGCAGCTGTTATCATCATCTCCTGTGAGGCGCTGGGTGGCCTCCAAGGGCTAGGGCTAGGTGGAACATCGTGGTCTTCAACTCCGTGGAAGCTTTCTCTCACTCCTGACAAATGGGTACCACCCCCAAGTGACCAAAAGAAATGGTGAATAACAACTCCCCTTTATGTAGGCTGATTCTCCTAGTCTCTGTGGCTGTGGGGGGGTGGGGGGGAACGACTCGTCAACTTGAAGCCCAGCTCACCTCTGAAACCCCTGAGACAAGGGAGGTGAAAACCAACTCTGCACACATTTGATAAGATACACAGTATGTCTGCCTGCAGGGGAAATGTCGTAAGTATTACGGTTCCAGCCCAAGAAAATTAATGTGTGAAATCTTGACCTTTGGATCTCCATGTGTATCTGAGAACTCACATACAGGCCCCTTCTTCTACATGTTCCTCTTCGTTTTGCTATCTTTGCAGACACTGACCTCCAGATAACCTCTCCCCAATATCCTGGTGACATGGGCTGGCATTCTGGTTTCAAATGTATGTCTCTGGTACCTTTGTAAAAAAAAATTTCCAATTTCAGAAAATGAGACCCCTCCGCTAATGAGCAAATAACAAGCAGGTCTGCTTTGAAAACAAAAAAGATCAAACTTCACTGGCTGTGATCATCTGGCACTGGCTGAAAATGATCCCTTGTTTTGCCAACAGGCATTAAATGTCACTCCTTCGTTAAACATGTTATTGTCCCCGATTACGGGTGGTGTTCACTGCATTTGTAATTTATAGAATGCATTTATGTATTTTATTGTTTTCCTTTATTGGGATGTTTTAGGGTGTGTTTAGATTTGTAGCAGGGAGCGTCTCGTTTTGCCCCAGTGACTGATCCACACCAGTCTCTCCCCAGGAGTAACGAATCCCAGGTCTCAAGGCCTGGGACTCAGGTGGATGCGGATGGTTATACTGACACCTATGATCAATTTCATCTTTACTTCACACGATGTATCATTTTTCACATGTAAAGATTTTACTGTGTAGTGCTTTGTTTCTAGATAGAATTCTAGAGCCCTCTTCATTTCTCATATTAACAGCTTAATATTTAGAGTTGGAAAGACAGACAAGGAAATGTAATGAGAAGACTTCAGGACTCCCCCAAATAAAGTAACTCTTGTCTTCAATTTGACAAATATGAAACAGTGTTGGACGCACAAAATCTTTCAAAAAGCACTATTTCCAGGTTCAAACACAATGGTCCTGAGAAATAAATGACTAATTCTTGTGGATATTAATCACAAATTACTTTTTTCCTTTAAAAAAAATAATTAAAAACAAGAGATGGAATAATTATTTCAGGCGACCAGCAGCAAAATGGGGAAATACCATGTGTTTGGAGTTTTAGTGCCCTCTGAGTACAGAAATTTATTTGCAGCAAGCAGAAAATAGACAGCAAGCATAAAAATACAGCAGAGTCCCTCTAGTAAAATTATTTATCAAGCTAACAAGGGAGGGACCCTTCTTGTAACAACAAGCCAGCGAGGAAAAGACATGGCTTTATATTTTACCTTTGGGTTAGCAACCCAGTAAAAATGCCAACTGACAAGCACTTCACATAAACATTTCTTTCTAAATGAGCTTCCTTGTTAGAAGGAAAGGGGAAAAAAAAAAAAAAGTCTAGCTAAGGACCACTACAGCTTACAGACAGAATTCTAGCATGTATATGCTGACTCTTTCGTGCAAAAATAATATAACTGAAAAAAATAAGTTAATATGAGAGACGAATGGAGTTTAAAAAACAAATCAGAACTTCATTTTAAAAATGTGCTTATATTCTTATCAGGGTGTCCTTATACTTGGATATTTATAGATGGTCACCGTTTTGCCACATGCTTTTTCAGGGCTGGCTTACAAGTCTCTGGAAAACATATATATATGTAGACATTCATGTATAGAGATACATATGTACTGACATTGCCTCTACTGCACGAGCCTCAATGCTCTATTTTTTCAAATATTTGTTTTATAAGAAAAACCCCAAAGTCAGATTTTACAGTTTAGTTCAACGAAACCAAACTTTGATTATAAATTACAGGTCACTTTACTGCAACATGCAAGAGCAAGAAAAAAAAAAAAGAAGAAAGAAAATAAAAGGATGGAAAAAGGAAACCCTTGAGACAAAACCAGGCAGTGGCCTGATCCCAATTAAATGTTAAAGAAATAGCAAAAGACGCATTCTCGGAATAACTACATCCTGCATAGCTCGGCAAGTAACACCTGATGAATTTACAATGAAATCACACACTCAGATCTCATCTTCCCTAAAGTGAAAAGTCTGACCAGTTAACTGTGGCAAACGTGGGAAGGGGGCTTTTTTACTGTAGAAGAAAATGACACTGGAGAGGATGAGGAATCTGAAGGACGCTATAAAACGTTGAGGAAAGTCAGACAGAAACATCTTGCTGGATCTGCATTCCCCTGTCCCCTCCCCAGCAACTCCCGCCACCACGTCCCAACAATGCCTTAAAAGTTACAAATTTCCCAGCAACAGGAACAGAAAGATTTTCATTACTAACATCAGCCAGCTCAAATAAAATAGGAGGGGAAAAAAATAAAACCAAATTCTTTCTTACTGTGTTTTTTTTTCCCTCTCTGGAGCCGAGTGACTGCCACCGCACTGCTGTGAAATCTCCAAGCTCTGGCTGGACAAGTGAAAGAAACCTCCGCTCTCTGGCAGGATCCGGATTATAGGGTTCAAACTCTCCAACTGAAGTCCTACCAGCCGAGTTTGGGAACTGGGCATATTATCTGCTCACAAATGTGTAGGGAGGGTTTACTGCTCCAGTCAGGTGCTATTTTGTTACACTGACCTTTTGGCGTTTCAGCCAAGGGCTGTCAGGATGCTACAAAGTAAGCGAAGATCAGAGGTAACGTTGAAATTGACCAGGTTCCTCTTGGAGGCTAGAGTGTTTAGCATCCCATCTTTACTAACAATTTTACCACCAACAACTAAGCCGAGGGAGAGTTTGAGAGCAGCAGTTATGCAAGTTCTGGTTTGCAAGGCTCCAGGGGATTAGCAGAACACAGAGCAGGTGGGAAGTCCCCGTGTCCAGGGAAAGAACGTGACGCCAAGGGGCCTCGCACGTGTGGTGACTTTCCAGCGGCTGCTGAGAGGAGGGCAGCTGGGAGCCCTCAACCCTGGGCCACAAAGCAGCCCCGAGGTTTACAGAAATCCTGATCTCGTCCCAAACTGCTGCTCCTTCCCTGAAAGGGGAAACCCAGGCTCAGCTCTGTAAACACGCCTATTAAAGCACAAGCACTACTGCTTCTACTCTGCAATGGTGAGAAGCTGCTTCCGGGCTTTAAAAGAAGAGAAGGAGAAAAAATAAAAAATTAAAAGTCTGGGGCCACTGAGTCACAAACAAAACAGTCATTGAGCATCAGGATAGAACTGCAAGAAGAAGCAAAGAATGAGACCCAATACGGGTCAAAAAGGTCAAATAGAGGGAAGAAATTTCTGATCTCTCTTGGTCACCCTCACCTGGCCTTCTGAAAAGCAGTGCGGGAAAACCAACACCATCAGACGTATCGTGTGCTACACCCTAAGATTTTTTGAAAGAACTTGAGAGGATTTTAATGGCTCCATTAGGGAGAGAGAGAGGAGTGAAATAAGAGAAATATTAAAATGAAACATAAAATACTATTTTCCTATTCAAAATGTTCAGCCTAGTAAGAGACCCCACGTCAGCTCCCCACCCTCCTTTGCCTGTACACTAGGAACGAACCTCGTTTTAAAATATAAACAAGCCAGAGGCACAGCATCACAGTATAGACTCAAGCCTTTTAATTAACTACCATTGGTAATAAAAGGTTTCCATTTTGATTAAAGCTGGGGTGAGGGGTTCAACCTTGGTGTCAGAATCCCTTTAAACAATTGCAAACCCCCAGACTCAAGACTCAGCTTGGCTGCTGGCAGGAGCCAGGGAAGAAGAAAAGAAACTTTTTCTGTAGAACCCAATTTAAAGGAGGCATGACCTCAGGGTCAATTTCAGATCAATTCAAGCCTCACCTCCACTGCCTACCTGCTAGCAAATGAACTTACTGTGCTTTTCAATGGATTGAAATGACTAAAAAGAAATTGTCACTTGCTGCATGTGGACAACACGTTATTAGATGCTTGCTGAGGGACCGGGGAAAACACCCTTTCTCTCTGTTTTTTTTTTCTTATTCTCACCTCACCAGTGATGAAGGTGTAGGATGCGCCCCTGTCCTGCTAATTAGGTGTTAATATCTTCCAGCAGCTTCAACTGGAGGTCACTGCGGTGTGGTCTCCAGTGACACCTGTAATTCCCACAGCTGGTTAGATTTTCCCACTCACAAAGCCTGAAACTTCCTCTCCCCCACCTCCAATTCGGCATTAGTTCCCATCTGAAATTTTATAAATGCTAATATCTTTATTATATTTCCTGTAGACGCTGGAAAGAGAGGCACTCAGAATTTTCCCACTGGCTTACCCTCATCCCAGCGTTTTCCAAATACTGCAAAAAAGGAGACAAAAAAAAAAAAAAGGCAAAACCAACCAACCCTTCTGCGTAGCTCATTTATTGCTGATAATTTCATTAGGTGCCAGGAAAAGCAAAAAAAGAAAAAAAAATGCAGACATGAAACAACAACTTTACAGTAATATTTGGATCGGGGAAATCAAAGACAGCACGCGGCAGGCGAAGGGAGTTTCAACATTGGCATCTGTGAACGGCAGCAGTAAATCTGAGATTTTGGCAGGTGCCTGAGAGTGTGCTTTTAGAACGAAAGCTCTTTACAGAAGCATCATTTTGTTTTAAGTAACGAGTGCTGTACTTGTACAAAAATTCCTTCCTCCTTTTTTTCCCCCAAATGCATAACGTTTCTTTCTGTAAGGCAGCCCCTTCAAGAGCGTCCTAAAGTTAACTGAAAATACAATGTGATTTCATATGGCACCATTCAACCAGTTGCCCAGTACCTGCTCTGCTATAATTAATTGATGAAATCCGCTCAGTAGTGGACCAGTGCCCACGGAAAGGAAACAGTAGGCAGCCTTGTATGGAAAGGGGGTTTGGTTGGGTGGGAGCAGACTCTAAATAAACACACAACAACAGCAATTAGGTAAGTCCCAGTAATAAAACACTTTAAGCAGAATTATTTTCCCTTATTTTCTCAGTGCCAACACATACAGTGATGTAATTTGGTTAAGACATACTCATGGAACTTGTGATGGATTGGTCCGCTCTCCAAATCTGCATGCCAGACAGCACTCTACTCCTTGCTGTCTTCCAGGATGGGGCAGTTACTCTAAAAACTGAGTATTTAGAAGCCTTGAGGGGTCTGCAGTGAAGACAGAGACAAGACCACCCACTGTTCTCGAATGGAGGCACCAAGAAATTCAAACTTACAGTCTATGTTTTCACATGTCATTTGCATGAGAACACCTGATTCACCACTTTTGTTCAAATATTTTGATGATCTCTGCAAGGGAAGCACGGCCACGACATCTTTAATTCTGTGTTTGAATGAAACAGCTGTACTAAGGCACCCACGTTGACACTGGGCATCGGGAAACCATGCTTGCATTTTATTTCTGGATGATTACGGGCAACGTGGGACGACAAGTTATACAAAATATTAACAAGATTTCTGAGTCCTTTTACCATGTTTTCTGTTTCTATTTCAGTTCATAACATAGTAAAGCCTTTCTTTCATTTGTTTGAGTTCACGTCAGCATAGATACAGTCAGAATAAAACATGTCCACTCAGCTAATTTAAGACTAGGGGTAAAAGAAAAAAAAAAAACACTGATGGGGACTTAGAACCAGAGAAGTGCTGTTTATATAAGTTCCATCAGGAAAGCTCCCCTAGGTGACAGGAGAGCTACAAACAGGCCTCCCCCTGTGTACGGATCCCACCTGCCCTGCCCCGAGGCAGCTCTGTAAGGCTTGGTTGCATCCGGATGGGTCTTAGCCAATATCAGGAACATCTGTAATGGGCAGAGCACACATATCAGCAGGCTAAGGTCCACCACCACCTTCTGAAATGAGTGTTTCAGCACACGGGATGAAAGAGCATGTATCAAAGGCCTACTTTCACCTTTGGTGCAAACCATGGGCTGTTGTGTTACCTCCTTTTGACAATTCACCCTAAGAGATAGCCTCTAAGGTGAATTCCAAAACCACCCCTCCATCTTAGGGTCAAGCCACATCATCATTTGTTTCCACGGGGATGATGCTAATATCACACCTTCCCCAGGGATGCTACCATGGAGAAATCTGCATCAGATAGCAGTGTGGGGTCGTTGGCTCTGTGGATTGTCAGGTTAGAAGGCACAACCTCAGTAAAGCACGCGCTTGGGAAGACTTGCATATTGTAAGCTGTAACATGCGCTGTTGGAAAGTGTTAGTCGGGATCAGGGGATGTAACAGAAATAGAGAATTTAATCTTTTTGTGATCACACTTAGGATGACTGTTCTGATGTGCCCAAGAACCGCAGTGTAATTCAGACTGCGTTTCTGAGAATAAATAAAAGGTAATTAAATGCCTCCCCAAATGGCTTGTGATTTCATTTTCACACCCTAGCCTAGAAAATTGCCAGAAATAAACCACGAAGTTGTAGTTGTATGTAGTTGAAATTAGCAAGAGAGCAGAAAGGTAGTGGGTCCCCGTCTTTGGCTTCCAGGATTGAAATCTCTTAACCAAAGTGACTTTCTGAAAATAAACTAAGTAACTCTCCCAAAGGGATCAAGTATTGGACTTTTCATATCTCAGCTTATAATATCTAATATCACAGAGTAACTTTGAGGAATTGTCCTCCTTCCCAAATTCCCCATCTGGCCAAATGCCTTTCACTTCCTTGCTCTCACCTGTCAATCATGTTCGCAGCTGAAATTTGATTTCTCTCCCACCAGTAACCTCATATGAAATATTACCAGGGGGGTCAAGACCCGTGTGAACCTTGCCTTAAAAAGTTCATTAACTCTTTGCTCGAAATGGATGGTTTCAGTGCAGCAAAATCTGCCAGTGGGCCCAAATCATCCTATTTAATAGAAGGCTTTCAAACTGCAATTATAAAATCAGGGATAAAAGAAAGGAATAGAAAAGTAAGGAATAAAGTGTTGCTCCTGCATGCATACACGAGGACACACAAATTAATCCCAAAGGCGCACGCTGAGTTAGAGTCTATGTAAGAGAACTATTACAGAAAATGTTAATTTTGTATAAGGCTAGGAAAGAAATCATGTTAAATATTCACAGTCCAGTTATTCAAAGACTCCCCTAATCACAGCGTGTGAAAGTAAGTAATCAGATACCATTTTTGAACAGTGCGGGAAAATAAGGTTCTGTTTTCCAAGACCCTCAATTCAGTGGATTCTTAAAGAGTCTCCTCTGCAAAAAGCAGCAATTTGCCCCCCTCCTTAGTTTGTCTAGAAACCAAAAGCTGTATTTCATGCAAATTTCTCAGCAAGCAAATTTAATACAAAAAAAAACCAAATCAAGCTTCATTCCATTAGCCAATATGAGGTAACACGAATACATAAAACGATGACACTAATAATTGTTGGTGTAAGAGTGTTGGTCTAGCTCTCTAAACAAAAAGGAATCATAATTAAATTCACACTGAGATGCTTGCAATTGAAAACCCATTTAAATAGCTTAATTTCATTTTTTTTGAAGTAGGTAAAAATCAGATTTCTGCCTCCTACCCACCTTCTGCCTATTTTTAAAATGGGGAGTGGCTCCAAAGTCACATTTGGACACAGAAGAGGGGACATAATGTGCTTTGAAATTGCATTAGATCCTCCAAATGTGAATACAGAGTGAATTATAAGATTCTGTGAATTTGGAATGTGTCTCTGATGTCCAAGTAAAGCTGGCCAAGGACCGTGGATGCTGGTTGTACAGATTCACCCAAACTGTCTGACATTCAAGAAGAAAGACTAGCTAGCTCTTTGTGTGGCAACAGATTCACGCTGGTTGAGGCTGAAGATCTGAGATCTACTCAAACAGGATTAGTACTCTATCCACCACACCTACGGAATGAAATCAATACAGAATTGCATGCATGCTGGTCTCCCATACACTGTACCCTTCTCTGCAGCCCCTAGAATCACCATTTATGCACACGGGAAACCCACGTACAAAAACTAACGCAGGAGATTTTCACACCTCAAGAATGAGCAGCATTCCTTGCTTGCTTGCTTTCTCCCTCATGGAAAATGCACTAAAACAAGCACATGCAAATCAGAAATCAAGATGTACCTCTTTGACTTCAGGCAACAGGATTTGTTCACATCACTGATGTAGAGGATTCCCTTGGATACCTGATTTAGTAAATATATTAAAATAAACAAAGGCTTGTTAATAACCATGAAGGGGGTTTTCTAAGGACAGTATGCTAAAGACAGCCTACCTAGCTATGAAAAGGGCAGAATGAGACCAAAAGAATAGGGATTCAGTTCTACTTGCTTTGGCATCCTGGCCTCCGCCCTGCCCGAGGAAGGGTTCACATGGAAGAGAACGGCATGGGAGGCTGGGTCACCTTTTCCCACTATTGCTGCAGCCCCCAGGAAGCTGAGATAGAGATACCCACTGGCCCAGCAGCCTGGATCAGCTTTGAAGCTGCCCTCAGTTTGGAAGACCAAGTGATCCCGGGGTCACGGGCAGGAGAACATGGATAGTCTCTGATGCGTGACTCAAGGGTTCACAAACTGCGCATCCCTCAGAGAACCAAACTGGTCCAGATTTCCCCGGCTCTTTCCTAGGGCACATTTCTCTTCCATCTTCCCCCCTCCTCCTCCACTGCCCTGGGCTCTTCTGCTGCCACTGCTGACCTTAATTGCAAATGTTCTCTTAACAAATAGAACCATTTGGGTACCGCCCTTTTATTTATTAACTTCCTTTCTGTTTAAATTAGTAGCAGGGAATGCTTAGAACGGTAATATGAAAATGAGGTTGCTTTAAAAAAAAAAGTCTTTGCTTCACAGTGAATAACAAAGCACAGTAATTCAAAGTAGTTAGCTTTCTATGGTTCAAAAAACCCTTATTGCTATTAGCTGTACTAATGTAAGTGGCAAAATAATTATCATTTACTGTACCGAGTCCAATATTTTCCAGACAGCAGTTTAATAACAAAGCAAACCTGTCATCTCTCCCTATAGTTAGCCACACGATACAAGTTCAGATTGTCAAAATATATTTAAAATCTAATTTAAAAATTCAACATGGTTACAGCAAATCTGTGTACAATAATTGTGATAAACTAGCAAGTCAATCTAATTTTTTTCCCAACATGAAGATTCAGTTATTTTTCTTTGATACGCGACACTTTTATTTAAATTACTTTACAGTTGGTGTGAACAAATATTCTACGCATACACCTGCTGAGATCTGCAGGCTGCTGTGACTGACATAGAATCTTTCTTAGATTTTCACTTAGCTTAACTCTCTAATTTTTTCCAATGCCCTTTATCTAAGTGGTCTGACTACGCATTAAAACACTCAGATAAACAAATCTGTACTCATATTTGTCAGAACTGCCCCAAATACACTATGCGCTTTCACCCACATTTCATGTTAGAAATGCTTTTAAAATCTTGTGGCACAAACTACTCTTCTTCATGTCACAATATACACTAATCTTTTGCCAAATACATTATTTCTCTGCCAAAAAAAGAAAGAAGGAACAAGAAACATTCTGAAATTATAAAACCTGGAAGTGTTATCTGTGATACGAATTGTTCTCCATTTGAAGTTCAAATGGCTAACCTCCAAAAAAACAAGAAAACTTCCCGTATAAACTTACTTTTTTTTAATCTTTAGAAACAACAGATTCTTTTAGAAATGCAAGTGAATAGAGTTTAAAAGCTTAAGAGATCATGGAGGAAATATTTTTGTAATTTCTTTGGGGTACTGCAAACATATGTTGAGCTTCTGTAAGGAATATTTACATGAGATCATATACTTGTGAGGCATTTTTCAATTTTAGAAAAATATTACAAAGCAATAATTGAACGGAGACTTTGCAAAAACGCCCCTTTGCCTTCCTGACCATCTCATTGATAGTCTCTGTTATTTTTGGAGAAAAAGAATCGGGCCTCGTTAAATGTGATATTTGGCATCCTGCCTGAACTCTCATAAAGTAGATGTTCTTTTTAGATCACTGGTGTCATTTTCCTCAAGATGACCTCCATCCTCTGGCCACCTGGGGAACCCATCCTGCTATCAAGACATTTACTTTCACAAGTGAGGGAGAGAGAGATTCTGTTTGCACACCTGAATAGAGTCCAAAAGCCACTGCTGTTTCTCTGTTCTCATTACCTTCACCCAGACTGGTCACTGGGGAAGCGTGGTAGGGGCCAGGGGGTCTCATGTGGGAGTGGGAGAGGAGATTTTTGAGCTGGACCATGATGGTGTAGTCCAAGCCAGGCGTCTGCCAGCACAAAGTCTCTAACACTGGGATCTATTTACCTAACGGTTAAATAATATTTTTTTAAATAGCATAGGCATGTGCAGCGATATTCCAAGGAAGATTTTAAAAGGTCTCATCACCGGTACAGTGCAGGGAATCAACATGGACCATACACCCGAGGACATGGTAGACGGTCAGGGTGCGTCTCGGCGCTGCCCGGAGTCACGCTAAGTCTGGCCACGTTTTTATGGGAAGATGATTCTAAGACAGATGATTCAGGTTAGGTTCAGCTCACGCCTACCAACATGGAGAGCAGGCTGAAGAACTCCGTCGCGTGATCATTTTTACGTCATATTGTGGAAACTGCGGATTTACCTTTTAATAGCTTCCCCCTCTACAATGTGTTACTTTAAAGAGTTCCATAAATAAATAAATAGATAGATAAACTGATAGATAGATAAATGGCAGATGAAACAATATGTTGGATTCATTACCTGAAAACAGAAAGACTTGAATATCACCTTTTAACAGATTTAATGTTAGGGTGGTTACCAAGCCCCCTCCCATGCAATCAAAAAGGATTTTTGTGGAATCTGGTGGTGTGAAAGTATCTCAGATGCTGAGATCACAGTTTTACTTTCAACACATTTATCTGCACATTAATGAATCCTTCCCTAAGAGAAAAAGGGGAAAAGGAGAATTATTTAAGAAGGTGCAATGATTCTTGCCTAACTATTTCACCTACAAGGATCTAAAAAACTGAGGGGCCCTGTAAGAAAAAAGCCCCACAAGGAAGGGCTCCTTTCTGAAATGCGTCGTTTTAAAGTTTGCCCTCTTTAGACAGTTCTTGCCTGCCTGAGATTTGGCTCTGGCTGTGTTAAATCTGCGAATGCAAGCACCCCCCTCGCGCTGGAGCTGTGGGCGAAATCCTAATAAAGTTTGCCTGAGCGGCTTTCCTTTACAATAAGCATCAAACTCTATCAAGGAAAAACCCCAACCTTATCGAGATTTCTGGAAAGATTTTAAAACATGCTCTCTGGAGTTCCTTCTTTCCTCTTTTTTCCTCTTTCACCCAGTCTCCAATCAGAGTGCTGGGGGGGGGGCGGGGAGGTGCGGGGGGAGGAGTGAATAGATCAGGAAAATGGGCTGGACAATTAAGAGAGTAAAAAAATCGAGTGACCTGGAGCTGACGATCTTAGTTCCAGAAGGTGCCTGGGGCAGCTCGAGGGTGAGGTGGGGATCCCAAGGTGAGGGGCGCAGCCTTTTAGGGCTGAGTCCCGCTCCCTCCCTCCAGGAGCCCACTTGGGGCGGGGCGCAGCCAAGCAGGTAGTTTTCAAGTTCCGAGAGCTCCACGACGGCCAGGGCAGTCCTCTTGGAAAACTTAAACCAAATTCCAGTACAAATCCGAGTTCCCTGCTGGAGCGCGCGGGGCCCTGGGGCGCGCTGGGAGCGGCTGCCGGTAGCGGCTTGGGCATCTCGGAGGGGAGGGGAGCTGCCTGGCCGGCGTCCGGAGCTTGCGGGCCTCCCGGAGGAGCAGCCGTGGGCCCGGGGCACCCGGGACTTCCCGCGGCCCCGGGCAACCACCTGGACCCGCCCCCGAGGTCCCGGCCTCCTGTTCTGCACTTGCTGCGAGTAGCCAGGAGCGCACCTGGCAGGCGCAGAGATGCCCAAAGTGAATGGGCCCCGCAGAGAAAGTGTAGGCGGAAGGGGTGGGCCCGGGAAAACCAGGAGACGGGACAGCGGACGACCTCAGCATCCTCCCTGCCTTCATATCCTCCGTTCCAGGCTTCAAGGCCCTTGGACCAGAAGCTCCAGCCAGCGCTGAACATTCCAGAGCCACCTTCCAGCACTTCTTCGCATTCCTGCCTTCGCACCGGAACTGGAGCAGGAGCGACTTAGTGGGTCCGAGGCCTCAGCTTATGTGACTGCCTTCTGGTCCAAGAGCAGTGACTTCTGAGTCTCTCTGATGGCCCTGGGTGATGAGGCATGGGGTGGGGGATAGAGGTGCCAAAAATTATGGCGAACATACTGGGATGGGCTGGGGCCAGGTGGAAAAGGGCTGAAGCCCTGGAGCTAAGTACATTGATGTTGTTTTTAAGAATCATGGGGATCTCTGGGTCTGTCAACGACTTGTCAATCAACCTGTAAACAGAGCCTTCCTGGTGGGAAGTCAGGGCCCTGGGAATGACCTAGAGTTGACCCCTGTCAACTGGGGGTCATAAGCCAAGGTTGGCCTCTGTTAGTAATACTCCCCCAGCCCCAGCATGAGTCCCGCTACCTGCTCTGCTCTCCTTTCCTCCCTCCCAGGCCTAGTTTGGGATTGCCTATTGTTCCAGGATCCTCAGGCCTGCTGTCCTTCTGGGGAACCAGCCCCCTCCCACCCTCGTGCCCCCAAAGGAGACCAGAAACCCACTTCTACAGGTTTCCAGAATGGATGAGGGCACATAGAACCAGGGCAAATTTTGGTTGCCAAAAGGAACGCTGCACTGCTGTGCAGATTTTCAGCCCAGGATTCCCTTCACAGCCATCCTTTTAGGGGATTCTCTCAGGATAGCGATTTTTCCTCCTCCTTCCCCAGTTCTATAAGGTTACAGGGCCTCTCCTATTCCCTAATCGAAAAGAACCAACCACAAGGAAAAGCCGTTCTTTGGAATCTTAGCTTGGAAACACTCAAGATTGGTAATCAGAATATTTAGAATAAATTCAGAATCCAAATCCCCAGTGTGCAGCTCACACCCAGGCCTGGCCTGGGCAGGGGCCAAGCGGGTGTGGGGGGTGAACACAGAACTATTTCCTCCCCTCCCCCTCCCCCCCAAACCTCCACAGACACCCCCACCCTCATCCTCCCTTCTTGAATTAATGCCCCTTTCTAATCGTAACTAAAGATCCAAGAATCTGTGGAGAGGGGAGGAATGTGATTTTGCAATCCAAAATCCTAATTATAGGAAAAAATTTTTATTTAACAAAAAGAAAGGAAAAGAAAATGAATTTTGTTGAATAGGGAAGAGGTGCTTAGCAGATGATTATGATCTGGGTAGAAAAAAAATGCATTCCGATCATAGCCTCTCTGTGGAAAATGTATTTTGTGAATTTCTTGAAACTGTCCAACTCTGATGCACAGTCATATAAAGATCTGATTTCTGTGCGCTATTGAGGTGTTCTTTCTCTGTCAGTCTTGTTATACGGGGGCAAACTTATGGAAAACACACAAAGGGCTTTCAAATTTAAACAATAAAAATTGCCACGATGCTGTAAAACCTCTTGCGGTGACCGTAGAAATATTGGCATACCATGGCCAAATGGTCCCAAATGTCACCACTGTAAAATTACAGATCAATATATTTATAAATGCCCCAAAGTTAAGGCATGAACAATATCCCCGGCTCTCTTAATTTGGGTTCGATTTCTAAAATCGTTTTCAGAAACGAAACACATGTGAACAGATAGGAAAGAAGCAGACAGCTGAACCTGGTTTGCACCTGGCAAACGCAGACCCTGGGTGCCTCTCGCCTTCGAAGTCTTCCTCACTGTTCTCTCTGGCTTCCCTCATTTCTCACCTCCCACGGATGGCACAGGGAACAGAGAGCCCGGGGTTTTGCTACGCCTTCACACCGAGCAATTTGATTTGCTTTGTTTTCTGTTTTGTCCCTCTCTAAAGGGTAAAGATGTTCTCACATTGTTGCAGGACCATACTTCTTTATGCTCTGACAATCATGAGACAGTCTGGGAGACTGAAATTCTCTCACCCTGTTCCCTACCCCCGCTAGAGGAAAAAAAAATGCTACACAGAGCTGGGTTTGTTCACCAGTCAGGGTAGAGCCAGGCTTGGAGAGAATTCCCCTTTTCTGGGGCTGTTTGATGTCTCGATTTTTGAAGACTGATCTCAAAAGTGAGAAAAGCTGTGTTATCAGAAGGTGGGTGACAGCTCCTGCTCTGTTTTTAAACAAGTGCAAAAATAAACAAACACATCCGGATTCGGAGGGCTGGGTGCTGGACCACCTCCCTGATGGCTCCTGTCTGCCCAGCCTTGGACTTGGGGCATCTTTTAAATGTTCAGGCTGGGCCAAGAGTGAGAACGAACTTTAGGTTTCTCTTATCTTCCTCTCAACAACGAGGAAGGCACTGACTGAATTATTCACCCAATATGCTGAGGAATAATCAGAATTGGTGAAAAGCGGAGCCTCCCTAAGGTAGACAGATCTTCCCTAAAAAAAAACTAAGACATTTTTTCAAAGAAAAGGGACAATTTTTTTTTTAATCAAATGAAGTAAAATCGCAGTGGGGAGCCTTGCAGATCATCGGTCTAAGGCAGGAGAATCCAGCTTCCTAGCCTCTCTTAGCAAATGTTTATGTAAGAAGGCAGGCCCCAGAGCTTGGCTGTGTGTTTCACTGGCACAGAAACCAGCTGGCTGAAGGTTGTCACTCACATATCTTAGTCTCCCAACCTGTCTCAGTTAGTCTTTAACTACCGACAGGCAAAAAATACAGATACCTGTGTGGCAAGCAGGTTTTAAATATATTGATTGGCCTAGAATACGGGGGAGGACATTTTATAAAGCCCAGAGTGTGTGAATACGGAAGTTGGCCTAAACCAAAAACAAAGACAACAACAAAAACCTTCCAACTACCCAACTCAGGAAACTTTGAATGTGTCCGAGGCCACTTCAATCACGTTAGCCCCAGACATGCCGGAAATTTGGCTACTGAGACAGCGGTGGCCCATGTTTGCAAGGGTGGCTACCATTTGCACAGTGTTCGCTGAGTTTCACCTTAAACCTGGTGGTCTGGCCAGGGAAGTTCCTACTTCAGAACCAAAGTAGCTCGAATTGATGTTACTAAATAAAAACTACTGGGGTAAAGGCACAAGGCAGAAAAGATCAGGGCGTTAGAATCATGCATTCGGTAATAAACAGAGCATTTCTCATTAAACGGCCTGTCTTGAAGGAGCCCAGGCGGTTGGGGCACTGAGGCAGATAGATATGACATCTAGACATCCTTTCCTCACTGCGATCAGGAAGTGCAATCTCTGCCTGGTTGATATCAATCTATTACTGTGTCAGATACATTGTAAGAAATTATTACATGGTTTTTGAAAAAAAGGAAACATGGGAGGTGATTTTGTGGATGCCTGAGAGCAGAGGAGAAGGAAAAAAAAAGCACACGGAGGAGTAGGGGTACGTAACTAACACTGGTTTCATTTACGGCTTTGTCTGATAAATGACCACGTTTGACATCACTGATAAATACAGTACTATCCAGGGCCCAAGAGAAAACCAGGGTGCTTGGCTCTGCTAAGGCTTCTGCCCATGGCATCTGCTTGGGGAGGGGGAGTCAAAGATTTTTTTCCTCTTAGTAAAATTATCTGCCAGAGAAACAATGAAGCATGAAGAAGTACTATTTAGAGGATGCATGCCTACGAATGCTTTAAAAATGCTAGCTGTTACCTTCTGGGACACTTCCCTTCATACAAATTTTTTAAATTTCAGTGGATTTTTAAAAGCAATATTACAGGTTGAAAACAATTGCATTTATTTGGTTTGGCGCATCGTAAGGTCAGAAGCATTAGTCTGCCTTACTATGGGCCTGCACCTAGGACCCTCAGACAGGAGGTACAGTTAATTTGTATGGAAGTTACATATTTAATAGCCTGCATCTCAAACACAATCATTTAGTTTTTAAAAAGGAAACTCAACAGTAGTCCTGGGCAAGGTGTTTTACATGACTGTAGATAATTATTATTATTGTTATTAACAATAATAATACTAATTTAAATGTACAGTTCTCACATAAATTTCACATAAATTTCATTCTGTGAATGCACTGATTAAGCACACGCTGCTGGGGCTTCCAAATGTAGTGAATCCCACTGATGGCTCCAACTTGTGAGTGGGCTCAGTTCCGTATTTGGAATGAAAGGAATTTTAACACTATTTAGACAAAGACTCAAATGCAGTGTAAAAATAAAATTAGATTTCCTTACATGATTTTTTTTTTAATTTAGACACTTATTTGCAATAAGGGCACTTAGGCAGGATTTAGGATTTCTTTGTAAAAAAAAAAATATATATATATATATATATATATATATATATTCACCACTCTCATTACCTGTCAAAGTTTTTAGTAATTGTTGTTCCTAAAAACACCTTTCATTAGGAGTTAACCTCTTAAAACCAGCTACCAAAACCCTATTTTTGCTAACACCTCTCTACTTGGCTTTCTAATATTTGGGGACAAAACCTGCTTATTGTATTGAGCTGCCTTGTAAGATCCTATCAAAATGCTTAATTGTTGCAGCACAGTTTTTTTTCTCCCAAGTGGCATTCCTCATGAGCTAACTGCAATAACTCCATTCTGAATGTCACTTTTATTTTGAGAATGTGTTTGCTTAAAATCTTTCATCGGATGCTGAGCATTTCTGCTTCTTCAGGGGTAGACTGCATATCTCTTAGTTGGGATCAGACCAAAGGGAAAAAAAAAAAAAAGATCTCTCAAGCAGAGAACAGCAGCTAACTTCAGGCACATGGACATAGATTTACTATGAAAACTTTTGTTAAAGCAAAATAAAGTGTGGATTCAGGGGCCCTCTCCAAGCTGGCACAGAGACCAAGGTCAAAATGCAGTGGGTATCCACTGTCTTCGTGGTCTGTGAAAAAGGGAAGGAAGGCTGATACCCTGGCCAGAACTCATCAGCGCCAAGCACAACCTGTTTTCCTCAAAATCAGGCCTTCGTTCAGAGTTGCAATATTATCTTTTTTTTTTTTGAACAGAAAATAAAACAAAAGTCATCGTGTTTGGCTGTATTTTCAAAACAGCGTTGGCTTTGTCTAACATTCTATTCACGTCCTAAGGGAAGCTGACTAAGAATGCAAACTGCGTGAATTTGTAACATTAGTTGCACGAATTTGTGTCATTTTAAAATAGGTCAATGCTGTTACTGAAGGTAGCTCAAGACTTTCCAAGTGATCTTTTAAGTCAGCCCCCACACACAGCCCGTGTTGGGGTAAATGCCAATAAATCAAAGCACAGCTGTTATTCCAACCAAGCATTATTTTTTGCGTATATTTCAGGAGCTAAGGTGATCAGAAATCATTACCAACTTGTCTACGTGGACAAGCTCTCCGCTAAATATTCAGAGGGAAATAGCATTGAAGAACACAGTTTAAACCCAGATACATACTTGGATTCCTGTGAGAGGTGGATTTTTCTTTTTCCTACTTAAGACAAATGACCTTCGAAGTTAAAAAAAAAAAAAAAACAATTTTGATTTGTCCAAAGCGTTGATGTGAAATCTTGTCAGGCCTTGCTAACAGGAAAATCATGGCGTGTAAGGGAGAAGGAAAAATAATCAATTCTAGCCAAAAGGCAAGAACTGTTTATCTTTACCACACAATGCATATGTGCCCAAGCCCCCTCCGCCAAAGCCTTAGGTGCCCGGCTCATTTCTCTCTAGATGGGCGAGCAGAGGGGTCAGAAACGCAGGGCGGTGCTGAGAAGGCCTTGCTCTTCCCTGGTTGGGATTTTTGTTTGTTTTCACTAGGGCAATGATGTCTCAACTTATTTGAAAACTGAAAACTTTGGGAGGGGTGCAGAGGATTTGGAGAGGTTGTAATTGACATTTCTCTTAAATATTCCTAATTATTAGAAGGGACTGGCCTCCTGCTTCACAAAACAGCCTCTGTTTCACTCTGAATGATGGCCTTCCTACTCCTCCATTAATCCTTCCTCTGGAGAAAAGGATGCCTTTTACACGTCTAATGCAGTGTTGGGCCCAGTTAAACTGTACACTAAGAAACTGAGTACAGAATCAAAAAAAAATGCAGTTTATTATTGTAGATTATTCTTTCTCTTGATATAACCAGAATTGAAAATGAAAGAAAAGCACATAGGAACATCACGCGTGGTTAGTTAGTAACTCAAGATATAAAACAATTTTGCACAGCAAAATATGTAAAAGAAAAGTAACTGACAAGATTTTTTTATATTTATTGTGGTAAGATTTACTTTTCATTTTGTTTTTAAAGACAGGATGTCAGTCCCTGAAAATAACATTTACTGATTATTGCCTTTAAAACTGTGGATTTTTTTTAAGTTACAGAAAATCCAGTTCTGCACCACAATACAACTGTAAAAAAATCTGCATTATCTTAAAACTGTGCAGTAATGCCATTTTTATAACTGCATAAATTTTATTAGCGTTCTAAACAGTTTTGCAAATTTTTTTGTATTATATGCTTGCAGGTTATATCTTAGTGCAATTCAGTCCCAAATACTTTAATTTGAAAAAAAAACATACATTTTGAATGTAAAATACCCCTACAGATATAAACAGGGGTGTTTCCCCTCTTAATACTTTGGTTTTCAATACAGTCAGTGGTATAGCAAAGACTACACATACCCAACTTATATTTAAGTTGCAAGCACATGCTGTATAAGCTACTTTTTTTTAAACAGTCCCCTTGCAAACTCTACCCCCCCTTAACATCACAACAGTAAACAATTTAGTGCATCAATCTTTTAAAAAATCTACAGCTAAACAGACCTAACTCTTTCAAATTTATCTATAACATTCCTTTATCTGTAGCATACATTTTAACTGGGCTAACAGATTATAAAAACTAGAATTAAATTATATACTAGAAACCCATAGCATTCCACATTTGACAATGACCAAAAGCGCCAAAAAAAAATTAAAAAAATTAAAAAAAAATAAAACAAACCAAAAATAACGGGGCAGATTTTTTTTCAAAAATAAATTTTAGACTGCTTTCGGCAACAGCACAATTTTAGTCCCCCAAATGGGGTGTCATTCTTATTAAAAAGAAAACATTCAGAGTTCTTTAATGTTTGCCATGTTAAATTTTTAACCCATTCTGGCATCTTTGACAAGGAATGCCCTCAGTGCATTTACAATGGGAGGCTGAAGTTCTGAGTAACTCAAAGCAGTTTTGGAGCAGATGCAAACTTTCATGGGAAGAAGGCTCTAAGGTTGCACTTTTTTTGTTCTCAACTCAAGAAAGTCATGAGGCAATAAAACAAAAGTATGAAAGCCATGCCATAAGTCTTCGAACGTCCATTTCCAAGCCAAAAGGAAAAAAAAAAAGAAAAAATAATTATACCATACATGTCCAGCATGCAGGCTTTTTTTTTTATTAATATAATGTCTCTTTTCCATAAAGTCTTTGAAACAGTTATAGTTCATTGTTGCTAAGACAAAGTAGCAAGCATAATAATGCATGAGATGAGAATGAGTTTTTTAATGGCAGACTAAACTCTCAGATTTGGCATCATAAGGCCAAACTTATAAGTCACACCCAGAAGGTTGATGCAGGCTTGATTGTGGCAGGTTCATGAGGTTTTTTTTTTTTTTCTCTATTTTAGCATAACAATGCTAAAAAACCCGATGGAACTCAGCACGCTGCAAGTCTATAACATTTCACATTTTTTTTCCTTTGCAAGCTCAATCTCATATGAAGAACTCAGGAGGAGGAAAAAAAACTTAGCTTTTTTTTTTCTTTTATCTCAGAGAAGATGGGTGGAGAAGGAGTGAGGATGGAGGGTGGGGGAAAAAAAAGGCAACACAGCAAGCTCCAAAAAAGTCAAATTAAAAAAAATCCAAACAAAATAAAACACACACACAGAAAATGAATACCAGCTCATGAACTGAAGAAGAAAAAAATACGTGAATGATGCAGGCATCAAAGGTGAGCATGAGGAACTCTGCTGAGATCTTTGAACATTGTGCAAGTGTGTGTGTTGGGGGGGGTGTGTGTGTTAAAAAAAAGCGAGCGAGTTATGGAGAATTTCAGATTGGCAATCCATGAGCCAGACAACCAGCCCCTCCCCAACTTAAAAACAGCCGCCGCCACCACCACCAACTCGGAGCAGGGTGTGCGTGCGTGTGTGTGTGTGTGTGTGTATCTGTGTGTGTCTGTGTGTCTGTGTGCGCGTGCGGGGGGCAACGGGGGGGCAAGCTCGGTATGGGAGGGGGCGAGGTGGTGGCGAGCAAGGCTCTGGAATTGGCAAGCCCACACCCGAGTCGGACCCCCACGGAGCACTTATCAAGGTGGCTAGCTGGGATCGCGTGTCAGACTCACATGAAAAACTCGGGAGAGGACGGGTTGTCGCTGCTCGAACCGTTTTCTCGGAAGCCGCTGCTCACCAACTTCTCGTATTTCTCCTTGTACGCGTCCCTCTCGCGCACCAGCCTGGAGATCTCCTGCTTGAGGTGGTCGACCTGCTGCAGCAGCTGGTTCTTCTCGGACTCCAGGACGTGCCTCTGCTGCACCCTCTTGAAGCGGCAGGACTGGGCATAGCCGCGGTTTTTCAGGGTCCGCCTCTTCTGCTTCAGCCGGATCACCTCCTCCTTGC